ATGCAAAAAGAACAATCATTAAACTTTTGAAATAGAAGTAGGTATCATATGATTGGCAACAGTTATTTTTTATTCTTAATGTCAAGGAAAAAGATAATGACCTTGACCTGACCTTGCCTCTAATATAAAACGGTCAAATTTAATTTCACTGATACTATCACTTACTGGTATTGTCTTCTTGATTCTGTGAAAATTTCATTGATTTTTAAATATTAGAAATATGAGAAGAATCCTACCTTAATGAATAAAATATACCCCAGTATTTAAACTAGAACTGTCCAATAGGGACAAATACCCCCCGCTGGGTTTTTCAGAGAAGGTGCCAATTCAAAAATACTTTATGGATCTAGAGGTGTTCACTGTTTACTTATAAAAAATTACAGTAAAATATAAGTGCTCATTTTGTTTCTTAATGAGTGAAACAAAAGTGCAACCAAATGAAACATCAATACTAATACATTGTAATTCAATCGTAACATTTTTTTTATTTCTGCATTAAAGAAATATATTGCAATTATGTGTCATGACACTCTGCAAACTAATTGTTGAAAAAAAAATCATTATACAAAATCAAATTAATCTTGATATATCAAATTCATTTTGAAAATAAAAAGCTGGTCATCCAGTAATGAAGTGCTTTGACAGACAATAAATTACAATTAAGAGAATAAGAGAAGAGAGATCTTTAATTCTCGAGCCTTATTCCCTGGAGATTTGATAACAAACACACGCTTGATAAGAGATATGCCATAACAACCTCCAACACCAAACTCATTAATTTATTTTTAACTGGATGCATGTCCAGTCATTATTCCCAAGAGACAAATGAATTTACATTATCTTCTATGTAATGTAAAAACTGTTTTAAACACTTGATGATGTTTCTTTTTTTTTTAGTTTTAATGAGTTGTTTTAAGCTGTACTAGTTCACATTTTTGTACAGATATTCTAGATTCTATCTCTCAAACCTTATAAATGAGCCCAAAATGAACAAATCAATTTAAATAAAAAGTAAAACCTGTAAAATGCAGAAAAATTAACAAATAAAGTTGAAAATTCCAGGTGCACACCTTCATATGGTGAATAATAAGTGTGCAAATTTTCAGATAAATCCTTGCAATAGTTTGTGAGAAACGGTCTGTACAAGACCACAAAATAACCAGAAGTCTCTGTCGAGACTGAAGCTCTACTGGTTTGTACTTATAGCAAAGGAAGAGAAAAGTACTTAAGCAGTTGGAAATTGAAACTTTTCAACAGATAAATAGAATAATTATCCTTGATTAAGTCTCTTTATGTTCTTAGTGCAGTCTACTTGCATGCAACATATATATTATAATCAGACTAAAATTGTATTTGGAGTAGCATTTTGAAAGAATTTCACAGAAATTTCTATTATTAGTAACCACGGCAACACCGTTCATCGAAATCAAAAACCGCTACACAGAATTATGTATCTTACTGTAGTCTACTTGTGTGCCAAGTTATATTGAAATCAGACTAAAACTGTAGAAGGAGTAGCATTTTGAAAGAATTTCACAGAAATTTCTATTTTTAGTAACCACGGCAACACCGTTCATTGAAATCAAAAACCGATAAACAGAATTGTGTATCTTAGTGTAGTCTACTTGTGTGCCAAGTTATATTGTAATCAGACTAAAACTGTAGGAGGAGTAGCATTTTGAAAGAATTTCACAGAAATTTCTATTTTTAGTAACCACGGCAACACCGTTCATCGAAATCAAAAACTGATACACAGAATTATGTATCTTAGTGTAGTCTACTTGTGTGCCAAGTTATATTGAAATCAGACTAAAACTGTAGAAGGAGTAGCATTTTGAAAGAATTTCACAGAAATTTCTATTTTTAGTAACCACGGCAACACCGTTCATTGAAATCAAAAACCGATACACAGAATTGTGTATCTTAGTGTAGTCTACTTGTGTGCCAAGTTATACTGTAATCAGACTAAAACTGTAGGAGGAGTAGCATTTTGAAAGACTTTCACAGAAATTTCTATTTTTAGTAACCACGGCAACACCGTTCATCGAAATCAAAAACTGATACACAGAATTATGTATCTTAGTGTAGTCTACTTGTGTGCCAAGTTATATTGAAATCAGACTAAAACTGTAGGAGTAGCATTTTGAAAGAATTTCACAGAAATTTCTATTTTTAGTAACCACGGCAACACCGTTCATCGAAATCAAAAACCGATACACAGAATTATGTATCTTAGTGTAGTCTACTTGTGTGCCAAGTTATATTGAAATTGGACCAAAACTGTAGGAGGAGTAGCATTTTGAAAAATTGTTTACAGACAGACAGACAGACAGACAGACAGACAGACGGACGGACGACGGACGCATTACTATCGCATAAGCTCTTCTGGTCTCTGACCAGTAGAGCTAAAAATGAAAAAACACCTGAAAAATTCAAAATAATGATCCAATCAATATGAAAATAGCAGGTGCACACCTTCATATGGTGAATAATATGTGTATAAATTTTCAGACAAATCCTTCCAACAGTTAATGAGAAATCGTCCGGACAAAATCTCGTCTACAGACAGACAGACAGACAGACGGACGGACGGACGGACAGACGGACATGGTGATTCCAATATACCCCCCCTAAACTTCGTTTGCGGGGGGTATAAAAAAAAAATATATTGTTGGTCAACTTTAATATTTGGGGATTTAAATAGCCCTAAAAATGAAAATGTAAAAATCACATTTAAAATGTTGGCTAGGTCTGGTGACAGCTAGGAAACAAGATTTTTTTTTTTGCCTATAGCTAATAACACCCCCTCTTCTTTGCAACAGGGACATAATTACGACAGAATTAACAGAGAGGCCTTGCCAAACCAATCCATTTCATTTCATGCTGGGGTGGGTTAAAAACTGCGTTTAATATCATTATAGTTCCCACTGACAGTACTGGTAAATAACTCATATCATTACTAGATATAAAGGGTGCGTTCAGAGTATTTCCAATGGTACCACCACCTCTTTGCCAATGGTAACAATTTGTACCATTGGTACCATTGGACCCATATGTACTCTGAACGAGTTTTGGGTAGAGTTGGTAGGAAACTCACCAATGTTAACAATGGCACCATTGGTGTACCATTTGTGACATTGGTGTATACCATTGATTTCTTAGAAGAAAAACAAAGAGTATTATTCTTGCTTGATGCATCATTTTGCAGCAAAAAATGCTTTCAAAAATACTTTTTAGTCCAGTAAATTATTTCTCCACAACAGAATTTTTCTCCAACTTGTCTTCCGGATTGTCAAATGTAAAATAATTAAATTAATTAATAAAATTTTGATTTTACATTAAATACACTTAGAAGTTATTAAAATAAATATTCTGAAACTTTCAGTCAAGAAAAACCACATTTAAAAAAGATGTTTCACACCTATATACACAGAGTTTATGTATATAGGTGATTAGGTGTGGTAAAAACATTACAATAATTTGTTACTTTCTCAGCTTTTTCCCCGAGGGAAAACTTTTATAGAATAATCTTGTTAATATTAATTTTACAGATAGAAAACGATTTATAGAGTAAAAATGAACCAAATTAAGCATAAAATTTATTAGAATTTACCAAATACCGCCCCGTAAACCTAGAGATCTCTCGGGTTCTCTGTTTAGTAGGACCGACTTGATCACTACCCGCCATTTTGTTTGACGTCATTAAAAAAGTTACCATCGCTAACAGAGCTCTAGTTCGTCTGCAGAAAAATCTACCTGTGGTAATTTTTTTCGGCAAACTTTGGTACCATTGGCATACCAATGGTGAGAAATTCTACCATGGGCAACTTTTGTTAGCCAACGGCAGTACTCTGAACGCACCCAAAGGCTCCCTGAGTCCCTGTATTCTAAATTAAAGGTTGATCCTTTTTAACATGTTACTGGATGGGAGGGATATATATTTAAAGAGACACTGTGACGCACAAAGGTGAATATTGACAAACGTAGAATTTTTGCATGACCCAATTAAATTTTGTTAAATTCCTAAAAGTATCAGATTTCAGAAAATGACAGGTTTCAAAACCTAAAAATTCTATTTTTGTGGAGAAAAATAAGTTAAGTATGCCCCATAACAAAAATATTGCTACATAGCGGCACTTCTTCCTCCCTATGTACGCGTGCGCAGAAGAAGTTGCCATAGTTACCGTGGTCTCAAGTACCCAGGATTAAATGAAAGTAGACCAAAAATGTTGTTGCATTCATTTTAAAAAGTTGTTTGAACATATCTCTCATCTTTGCATGCCCCAGTTGAATGTTGTTTACAAGTTAAAGAGTTAAGAGCTAAAAATAAAAGTGGCGTGAGCTTGACATACACGAAAACTATGAAAAAGATACAACCTTTGTTTTTCCGGCACTTGTATTGTGCAGTCTTTTCTTGGAGTTTAATTGTCATATCTTTGCTATATACTCATTATTTTCATAAGTCTTTCTCTGTATGCTACAGATATCTTAAAAGAAAAACATGATTTTGACTCATAGTGTTACTTTAAGCAATGAATCATTATTTTTTAAAAGTCTCATAACTGCAGGGGTAGGTGTAAACAAATTGAGTGACACTTTATTAACGGGTTATGAAAATTTGTTTGCACACACTGTTGCGGTTATGAGACTATATCTTTAAAAAAAAATGATGATTCATTGCTTATATTTCATATTTTGAAACCCTCTACCTTGACTGTAAATGTGATTTATATTAAAAAACCTATGTATTATCCTTTGTCACAGCTACAGTAACAGCTTCAGGTTAATGCGTCCGTGATTTTTGATTGTGATATTACACTTCCTCAACATTCAAAAATTGTGACGTCAAAGTAAAATACAGGCTTTAACCTTTTGGCACCCTTTCTGTGTTAGATGTTTTCAATGCAATAGATTTCCATTCACTTTATATGCAAAAAACATATGTAATGTAAATATACATGTATATTTGTCCTCAACAAAACATGAAGATAAAAGAAGAGTTAACTTTGTAACAATTTTATTTATAATAAATGGACTTTGTACATTCACTGGACAATGTACATTGTACATGTAATAATATTAATAAATTTGTAACATTTCCCTTTTTGGGGTTTTAAAAACTAAAGCACCATAAAGTTCTAGTCACTGATGGATTATAAAAGGGAATACACAAGAAATAACTCAACAGGATTGTTAACATGATAATCTATAATCTGAAAATTGTTATAAGCCTAGACACATTTATAAAATACATTGGAAGGCAAGGGAAATTGTAATTTCTACATTTGGGACCCAAAATTTGGGTAACACAATTTAAATGATAAAATATCTAAACTAAAAATTCAACAACTCTCCACACATTTTGTCAGTTCATCATATTGAAAACACAAGTAAAAGCACTATAAAAGAAGTTCAGGTATAATCACAAAGCAGTTTAGAGACTGCAGTCAAGCTTTGAACACATACATGGTAAAAAAGATAAATGCCTTCAGCGAAATTGCCACTTTTTTCTATTCTCCACTTGGACTCTGTTTGGGAATGTTAGGAGCTCCACGGCCCATTCCAGGATGTGTCTGGGCTGAGGTTCCATCCGATTTAAGATTCAGACTCTCCAGTAGCGGTACAAGTCCCGGTAACAAAAAATTCCCCAAAGGATTATTCGAGGCTGGCATGCCCCGTCCTAGCCCTAAAATGTTCCCCTGAGCTGCCCCAACAGAAGTGGGAGGCATCTGCTGCAAGGGGTCTGCCCCCACAGGGAAATTTGCACCAGATTGGGTATACTGATTTAGTAGTAGGGTCTGGAACATGTTGAGTTGCTGCTGTTGTTGATTGATTTGTTGTAGCAAACTGGTTGTATTTAACTGTGGAATGGACGGATTCTCGGTAGCTACTGGTGATTCCGATACCTGGGGCTTTGGCTGTGGCATACTTGCAACTGTGGCTACCGGCTAAAAAAAAATTGAATACTGTAAATTTTTTTTTATTTGCGAGAACTTTATTTTCGCGTATTTACATGAGACGGTATGCTCGCGAAATTTTCATTCTCACGTATGATAGAATTCCTTAAGATTATGTAAGGCAATGACCACAATTCGTGAAAATTTTGTCTCGCTAATAAAAAGAGTCAATGACTATCTCGCGAAAATAAGGTGTCGCGAAAATAAAGTGATCTACAGTACAGGACTGCAGGAGATGAACTTAAGGTATAGCAATTTCAAACTAGCATAATATTTTATTTTCCTCATAGCAAATTTGCTATTATAACAAAGGATTTTTCAGAAATATTTTCACTCAAGCATATCAACCATTTTTATACAAAAAACATAGGTAATCAGAGATTATGTACATGTATCACATAAGCTCCCCCACTTCGTTGTGGTGTGCTAAAAGCCTTACTATTATAATTTCTTTCAATAATTGGTTTCTTCATTTGTATTTTTTTCATGAACATTTGTCTTACTTTGAAAGACGTGTCAGTTCCAAAGACAATTTTCTGTGGTGATGCTGGCAAAGATTTTCTCTCCTCTTTTGTAACATCCTCAAATTGTCTTGGATCCACTCCCCTACTTTCAGCTCCCCTGACAGAAGCCTCAGATTCTCTACTGATAGTACCTAAAAAAGAATTTAAAATCTAGTTTGTATTCTTGATAATGAAAGGTTTTTCCCTGGTTACAGAAAATACGCTTAATTTATGTTTATGTATCTATCCATTACCATTTAACAAGAATATCAGAAACCATTTCGATTTTCAATACACATCGATACCTATTATACCTTGCTTGTTTTTCAGCAAACTCTCAAAACTTTTGATCTTCATTTCTACATCATTCAGATTATTCACTATTTCTTCTGTGTTTTCAGTACTGTTCAGCATTGACTGTAGCACTCTCTTCCTACAACATAACATTTCAAGCTTTAAAATATTCTGACATTCCTCTGTCCAAGGTTACATGTTCTTTCAAAATACAGAAAATGTACACTTTGTTCCATGATATATCATCATCTTCTATTCCATGATAAGTCACAATCGGAAGACAGTTGATTTACAGTACAGGTATAGAGACCAACATATCTATAGAGATGTGCTTCAGAGTAACTTACCTTTTGAACTGTAGGATCTGCAGTGTCTCTTCTATCTGTTCAGTACTTAACTGCTCTACATCACTGTCCTCTGTTTCAAAGTCTTCTCCCTAAATTAAATTTGAAGGTTAAAACATAGGTAATCAAAGATTACGAAGCTCACCTCGACGAATGTTATCAGTGTAAGTAATGCAAAACTCACATCATACATGTATTTTCTTAATGTCTAGTATTTATCCCAACAACAATATTCTTGCAAGTTGTGTTTAACCCCTTTACATGGCATGTACACATTTCTATGCATGTAGCATGAAAAACATGTATAGTGTGAACAAATATTCATAAATTTGTTAGTACTGCAGATATCAAGGACTTTCAAGTTCATTGGGATTAATCTGTTCCCAAAACTTTAACCTGGTCTCTTGTATGGAAAATATAGGTCAGATTCAGCATCCAAAGCAAGTCTGATAGTGTCCATCCCTAGATGCATCATCCATGCAAGTTTGGTTCAGGTAGGTCTTATAGTTACTTGGGAATGAAAATTTAGGTCAGATCCAGCATCCTAAGCAAGTCTGGTAGTGTCCATCCCTAGATGCATCATCCATGCAAGTTTAGTTCGGGTAGGTCTTATAGTTACTTGGGAATGAAAATGTAGGTCAGATCCAGCATTCCAAGCCAGATCTTGTCATTTTCCATCCCAGATGCATCATCCATGCAAGTTTTCTGGGTAGGGCTTATAATTCCTTGGGAATGGACCTGCTCTTAAAACCTTTAACCTGTTCACTCATCTAGAAAATGTAGGTCAGATCCAGCATCCGAAGCAAGTCTGGTAGTGTCCATCCCCAGATGCATCATCCATGCAAGTTTGGTCAGGGTAGGGCTTATAGTTCCTTGGGAATGGACCTGCTCCAAAGACTTTAACCTGGTCACTCATCTGGAAAATGTAGGTCAGATCCAGCATCTGAAGCAAGTCTGGTAATGTCTGTCCCTAGATGCATCATCCATGCAAGTTTGATCTGGGTAGGGCTTATAGTTACTTAGGAATTGACCTGCTCCAAAAATTTTAACCTGGTCACTCATCTGGGAAATGTAAGTCAGATCCAGCATCTGAAGCAAGTATGGTAGTGTCCATCCCTAGATGCACCATCCATGCAAGTTTGATCTGGGTAGACTTATAGTTACTTGGGAATGGATGTGCTCCAAAAACTTTAACCTGGTCACTCATCTAGAAAATGTAGACCAGATCCAGCATCCAAAGCAAGTCTGGAAGTGTACATCCCTAGATGCATCATCCATGCAAGTTTGGTTTAGGTAGGTCTTATAGTTACTTGGGAATGGAAATGTAGGTCAGATCCAGCATCTGAAGCAAGTCTTGTAGTGTCCATCCCTAGATGCATCATCCATGCAAGTTTAGGTCGGGAAGGTCTTATAGTTACTTGGGAATGAAAATGTAGGTCAAATCATGAATCCGATAAAATTTTTCTTGTAGTGTCCATCCCTAGATGCATCATCCATGCAAGTTTGGTCTGGGTAGGGCTTATAATTCCTTGGGAATGGACCTGCTCCAAAAATCTGTAACCTGGTAACTCATCTAGAAAATGTAGGTCAGATCCAGCATCCGAAGCAAGTCTGGTAGTGTCCATCCCCAGATGCATCATCCATGCAAGTTTGGTCAGGGTAAGGCTTATAGTTCCTTGGGAATGGACCTGCTCCAAAGACTTAAACCTGGTAACTCATCTGGAAAATGTAGGTCAGATCCAGCATCTGAAACAAGTCTGGTAGTGTCTGTCCCTAGATGCATCATCCATGCAAGTTTGATCCGGGTAGGGTTTATAGTTACTTAGGAATGGACCTGCTCCAAAAACTTCAACCTGGTCACTCATCTTGGAAATGTAAGTCAGATCCAGCATCTGAAGCAAGTATGGTAGTGTCCATCCCTAGATGCATCATCCATGCAAGTTTGGTCTTGGTAGAGCTTATAGTTACTTGGGAATGTATGTGCTCCAAAAACTTTAACCTGGTCACTCATCTAGAAAATATAGGTCAGATCCAGCATCCGAAGCAAGTCTGGTAGTGTACATCCCTAGATGCATCATCCATGCAAGTTTCGTTCAGGTAGGGCTTATAGTTACTTGGGAATGGACTTGCTCCTAAAACTTTAACCTGGGACGCCGACGCTTACGCCAGGGGTATAGCATAAACTCATCTCGACTTTGTTGAGGTGAGCTAAAAAGTGCACTTCATAAAAGTCAAGCAAGAATAAGAAAATAAATTATGTGAACAAATGACATGAAAGCCATCACAAGCACACTAGCCATTACTGGCCAGTTCTTTTGCCTGACAGTTATTATGTACAGCTTACCCTCCAGTATGGATCATCAGGATCAAAGCTCTCAATGAGTTGAGATACATTCTGCTCCAGTTCTTCTGACTCACACTTGAACAACTTGAGTATTCCAGGAACACCATTGAGTTCATATAGGGTGAGCACCTTCTGCTTAACACTTTTCACTCCGTATCTGAAAACATGGCAGTATCATTTATGTTAATGAAATACACTGTATTGTGAGAGCATGGTTCTAGCTCATATTCATACACATTTTGTGTTAAGGATCTCATACAATCTTAAAATTTAAGTTGCTGGTCTAATGATTTGAGATATTCAGATTAAAATACATAAAGAAAAGGGGTTGGGACTTTAAACTCACTTTAATATACTCATAATATTCAAGCTATCAGAGTTCAAGACCAGGAAATTTCAACTGTTTTTCATTTTACATGGGTTTGATCTAATGAGATTTTTTTTTTCATTTTTAACCTCTGCATCTATGCATCTCATACTCTATATTTACTTACTGATAAAGTTCATAGAACAATGCAGGGTACTCCTCTACACTGACTTTGATCTTGTTCACATGTGCTCTCTTCTGGAATAACTAAAACAAAAACAACTTGTGAAACTTGCAATCAAACTTGTCATTCTTCTCAAAAATAAGGTCTCAAAAATAAGTCTAGGTAAAATAAAACATCTAGTCTCATACAGTGAACTTTTCAAACAAAGTGGGTATGACACTTTACAGGAAATAATATACAGGCAAGTTATTAAGTACTTTGTGAGATAAGGGAAATAACTCTTGTTGATTGGGGAAATAAGGTTTCAGAGAGAGACTCTTACCATGGAGGTTAAGACATCATCTTCCCAGAAGAAGGATGAGACATCAGAAGACAGAAGATAGGCCACACCATCCAGGTTAATTAGATGTACCACCACCTCAGAGGTCAACTGAAGTCTGCAGGCAGAAAAATGTTGAATTTGTATTATTATATTACTTTGTTACAGCTTCATGCATGTCTTGCTTCATTTCCTAAAGATCCATTTACACTTGTCATGAAAAAAGTTACACTAAAGGTGGCATGTTTGATTAACTTAAGCACATACTTAGTTCTGGTGAAAACAGCATATATCGTAAAATATTTGTCTCAATTTTTGGCAGGTTTCCATCTATATTACCCCCTCATAGGAACTTTGGTTACATTTCATAAACCAACTAATTTTCATGTGGGAGAAATATCTGGGAGTTGCACAATCTTCTACCAAATATTTCTTGCTGTGAACCATTACTTTAATAAGCTGTTTTTGTGTAGAATATTGTGGATGGAAGTCACAATGACAAATTGCCGATAAATTATGTTGCAAATACTAAATAATCCTTGAACAAAAATGAAGTTCTCCTACATTCAATAATTTAGGACAGGATTATAGTTATTGACAGACAATGTAACAGACTGTGTGCCTTTTTTTTTTTAGCTCAAGATCCATCAGCAAGACAAATTCTCTTTACTCATTTCCCTGATTTAAATATTTTTTTGGGGGACAAATTTGAGAATGTTAATGTGGTTACTTACTGTAGAACATAATGTCTACTCTGGGCCTCCAAGGAACTCTGTGCAGCCAAATTTTCAAAATAGGTAGAATCTGAGAAAGTGCTTGCTGTCTCAGACTCACAGGAGAAGGGAAAATCAGCAATCTATAGAATACAGTAAAAAACACGCTATAGACAGGGTAGCTGAACATTGATATATATCTAATTGTTGAGTTTTTAAAAATATTGTAAATTACCTATATTATTAATAAAAGTGCAAAACAGTCTGAAGTATAAGTCTGGTCAATCATTCAAAAATTTGAAATTTATGTCAAATTCTGTATCGTAATATCCTCATGATAACATGATCAATACACCATTTTGACCATACTGATAAGATTTTAAAGCTAAAACAAATGCTCCCATCGCAGCTTTGAAGAATAAAATCTCATCTTTATTCAAGTGAAGAGCATAAAAGACATTATTTCAGATTCCAATAATAAAATTTTACAAATCAATGCAATCTAGTACAAATTTGTAATCATTGTAATAAAATGCAGTATTTTAACAATGGTCATTTCAAAATGGTATTATGAATAAATGTATACTGAGTTAAGTAGGAATGCATTTACAGACCCTCAAAATATTTACATTAAAATGTAAGACCCATGTTTCAAGCCATTAAAATACTTTTACTTCCCCCCTCGACAATATTTAAATTTCTGTCTTTGAAGTAAATCGAAACAAAAACATTATGTCACTAAAGTACTTTTAAAATCAAAGTATTTGACAAACTCTATTAAATTACTGCTTTCTGTTCAATTCAAATACTTATCATAGTGGCCTACGTCACGTAGTTAATGAATATGTTTGCCAATAAGATTGTTACCATGAATATAATTACAGATAACCCTTCCCCAAACAAAATGATTTTTCACCTTGGTCAGAGTTTATTTCTCCGTGGTTTTCATTCCACGAGAAAAACACATTTAGATTAATATCAAAATCCAAAATGTCACAGTACCCTTTTTTTCTATTTACCATTTCTCATTACGCTTTGAGACAAAATTTAAGCACTTGAAAAAAGTTTCGTCAAGGACAAGAAAAGCAATGTATGTAATCCCATTGTCTGTGCACTGCACATTGTGTACCCCTAATTCATCGCGACACCAAATATTGTCATATCATAGCATTTTTTGAAAACCAACCCTGTCAATATTAAAACAGCTCCCATAAAAGGGGTTCAACAGTCTACTAATGCAAGATAAAATGACTATATTTTCTAACCAAATCTTTCACTTTGAAAAATGAACCTGGCATCTGTTCAAAAATTTGAACATTTATAGGTAAAGTGGGGAAATTTAACAGTGAACCTCTGTAAAGGTCTTCCCACTTTTTTCATTTAAAGTGTGCCGCCAATATCTACACACCCTCAGGCCTCATATTCTTATTTGGATAGTACACCTTAAGCTACAACATGTTGTGAAGTAAGGAGTATACACTAAATTTGACAAAATTTTATAAAAATGTCTGCAGAGATTGGTGAGGACCCTAACTGGGCAGTCCAGCAGCTGAAAGTAGAATTCCGATTTAGGAGGAATTCTTCATTGGTAAGATATTAATTTAAAAATAGATTAATTCTGCCAAAATTTGCTTCAGAATGTTTTAAAATGATAAACATGCAAATTTCATGTAGTTGCTTATGGATAATTTTATTTTAAAAACTTCATTAGTTGTGTGAATTAAGTTGTAGGCTGAATTCATACTTGAATTAATTTTTAACAACTGTTAACAACAAATTAGTGGACCTTAAAAAAACACTGATAAAATCATACAACATTTTTTTTTCCTTCATTTTCTTTAAAGTTGAATAGGAATTTAAGATGGGGAAAGAAATAGAACTAGAAATGCACCATTTACAGAGTGAGTTTTTTTTTTATAAAAATTTTGTCGTTTCCTACTTGCAAGAAGTTGCAATTCTTACCAGGTGCCACTATGCAATAAGTCCAAAGCAATTATACCCATTATTTTGTGACAAAAATTTTGTAAAAACATTTTGAGGCATTTTGTTCACTTTTTATTAAAACAAGTAAAAGATGCCAACATCTCTAATGTGACTTTGACGATGGTTTGTCATGAATGTCATTTTTTGAAATGAAGTCACCATTCTTCAAATTTACTCTTTTTAATTCACTGCAGCCTTTCAGAATTTTCCTTTCTGCAACTCCAAGTGTCCAAATGAGTCTGCAATATGTTTGCTTAATTTCAGACATTCAGTTTATGTTTTATTCCAAATTTCTTGTATCCTATATGCTAATTCTGAACGTTTCTGAAAATTTCTACATTACTCATCATCCACTTCAAAGAATGAAATTTAAAATATCTTTTTGCCAAGAAACTTCAGTGACATGACTTTCAACATCAAAGACCTAAAAATGACATGACTTTCAACATCAAAGACATAGAAACAATTCAACTTTAGCAACTTTTTATTAGAATATCAGATCACATTCAGTTTGTCCTTTCCTTTTATAAAATGACTCTCCTGACACACCTGTGATTGTTAGATCCTGACACCAGGTGATATCTACCTGTAGAAGGATCAGGTAAATTAGATTCTGGGTAATTACACTGATGAAGAGATATTGATTTCCTTAAGATGAACTCATAGAAAATCCTTCCTCACAATATTACAGAGTATCTAGGTTATAACCCACCTTTTGTGTTAGATATGCATGATCACTTGATTCGGTGATAAAAATTAAATTTTAATAATACATTATTTCCCATTAATTACATTTTCAAAGCAACACTAGCAGTTCTTTCATAAACATATATCTTTCTGCAGCTGTCTTACTTAAACTTACTTGATATAGGTTTCATGACAACATAAGCTGAAAAATGAAGATTCCTAGAAAAACTTTTTAATTGATATGACACATTTTATAGACACAGGTTCAATACCAGTACCATTTACCAATTTTATGTTAGTAATTACTCAATTCAGGGTTGGAAATTACATAGCCTCCCTTACTGCCCAAGGTGGTCCATTTCTTAGGTGGGCAAGAACGAAACTTCAGATGATAATCTGGTGGCCAAGTTAGGTCCAATATCCAATTCCTATTATTATACTGACATTTCTTTTGTTTTTCACGATCAAGTAACATTCAGTTATTGTGAATTATGTAGGTAACAACTAGTATAAATTGTAAATGATAGAGATTTCCAGAGGGCCTGTATATCAAATACATGTAATGAGCTTTATCTAAAGCATCCTTTAATAATGAATATATTTTTTTTGGTAAAAGTCAGTACCGACAGATTTTGAGCATGCATGCAGGGCTGGTAACTTGTATGAGAAGCCAGTACTGCATGCAAAGTGGCTGACTGTACTGTACATGTGCTATGCTTAATTTTTTAAGATCATGAATTTCCAACCCTCTATGATGCAAGCTTTTATAGACGTAACACTGTGAGAAATATGTAGTAGAGAGATACTTTTATAATATTATATTACAACAAAACTTTTTGGTATGAACACAAACATGAGTTGCCTATTTGAGCATCAGAACTGTGTGCCATATTATCAGCCAATATAGAATTACTATAAACCAACTACTATTAGCATCGTCTTTTTTTGTGATTCTTCGTTTTGATATCAAACTGTGATATTCCATTTTGGTAACTATCAGGCAAAAATGCATTCTCCACAAATGTAAAGCAAAACAAGGTGTTTGTAAAACACTTATGCCCCCCTCCCCCAAATAATTGGAATTTTTCTAAGTCCAAGGGGCATACCTCTGTCAAAAATGGTCAACTGTACCCAAAACAGAACTTGACCTATGATAAATCTCTATACCAAATTTCATTTTAATATGAATGTGCAAATGAACGAAAACTGCAAATAATTGGAATTTTTCTAAGTCAAAGGGGCATAACTCTGTTCAAAATGGTTCAATAGTACCCCAAACACAGCTTAACCTAGGTATATTCTTATGATTAATCTGTATACCAAATTTCATTTCAATATGTGCAACCTCCATGATGAAAATGAACGGAAACTGATGGTGGACTGACAGAGAGACAAACCGACCGACAGACAGCAGCAAAGCAATATGTCCTCCCTTCCTCGAAGGGGGGGGGGGGGGGGACGACCGTGATAAATCTCTCCAGGTGATGAATATTTGAGACAGAGTAGATATAAAACTCGAAGATATTTCTCAAACGTGGATAAAGTTTACAGTATGTTAAAACTTCATAATGTAACCTAGTGTACATATTCCATTCAAATATGTATCAACTTTACACATTGTCATTGCAAAGAGATTTAAATCTGAACTTGTTTTGGTATTGAATTCACTTATCTAGTAATAAACATTTTGAATAACAAATCCCTAGCTCAACAGTTTACCAAGATAATTTCAAAGTGACAACTCAATACACCTTAATCAATCTCACCATTTCTTATCTTTGTAGAGTACATAAAAAGTAAGTCATGACACTCAATTGCTAAGAGCAAAAAAATGTTTTATACAATTTTATGATGATGATTTTCATCTACGTCTTTATGCATTTAAAATGACTGATAAAAGACCTCAGGAATATCTTCCCGAGATCAAAGATTAGATTGGATTAATACCAAAAGATGTGAAAAGGACATCAATTCCTATCACTCTGAATAGAACTTGGCAGTGAACAAAGGCCATATTTCTTTAAATGATATCTCTGGACAAACAGCTTCTTAAACATCTTATAAAATCTTTGATAAAAATGCAAATGTTGAGGTCTGCGGAATAATTGTGCATCATTAGAAGAAACATGTACTAGCTGGCAAAGTCCTCCATTTAAAATCCCAACCTTAAAAACTGGGAGCAGTGTTGACAATAAAGTTTAAATCTCCAGACCAATATATGTATTGACTGTTTAAATTTTATGAAATAACAGCCAATAAACCTATAGGCATTGAATTCCATGTATGCATTTGGGTCACGACCCCGTAAAATGCCCATGTAAAGAAACTTGCAGGAATTACGTCAAGTTCCACCACCTTTATATCCGGACTATATGCAAATCGGATGATAGGTGTAAACTGGTGCCACAGAAGTTTGCTAAGGAGAGAGTGAACGTAAATATTTACAAACACTTACTCAGAGTTCAGCTGAGAT